GAATGTACATCACTATTTTATTTTAATATTTTTTATTTAAATTTTCTTAATATAAAATTTTGGGTGTATATATCTAATACTATTACACATCATATAAAAATATAAAAAAAGTATTTTCAATAATTTAAAATGACCAAAATATCCCCATCATTTTTCAAGGGTATTTTGATCATTTTATATTTTGGGAATATTTTTTCTATATTTTTTATTTGTGCGCCTTATTTTTAGTATACATGTGTAAAATTTCATTATGATCCAATTTATAGAAAAACAATTAAAATTAATATAGTGATATGTATTCTGAACCGTATGATAAAGATCTGACGGCTCCTATTCCACCTATATTACTATTCATTATAGTTGGCCAACTATTGTCAGAGTTATATATATAGGTTTGTCTAGAGTTAACAACCTCTCAAAATACAAATGTTAAAGTTAAAAGGGGTTGTGATAGGTGTATTTATAAAAAAGATAATTATTTTTTATTTAAAAAATTATTTTTATAAGTAACTTAACCATTAAGCATGAATAAATTTGAGTTTTTTACAAAATTACAATGGCATTATGAAAGTTAGTGCTTTGAAATTTTATTTGTAGAGTGCTCTTGTCATGTAGTAATAATTTTAACTTTATCCTTTATGGAGTTGATAAAAGTACCTATGTCTGGTAGTAATATTAACAAAATTGTCCTTACTTAATGATGAAGATATCACAAAAATTAGTTTCTTTTAAAAAATAGACTACAAAATTAATAATTTAAAAAATAGACTACAAAATTAATAAATCCACCATTCACAACTCTCTATATCTTTAACTTTTGTAATTTAAAGGGTTGTACATTTTAGATTATCCATACATATATATATTCTTAAAAAAAAAAATTAAAATTAAAATATGAAATAAGGTCATGACCGTCTGATCGGCCTAGATTCAATTTGAACCGTAGGGTTCATATGTTCATATGAGCTAGTGGTCTAATATCAGTATTTACCTATATATATATATGAGAAAAGTTTTTTCAACACCTATAGGCGAAAATAAAGAGTGATTTTGCTTATGCTCATCACTATTTAAAATTTATCACACGGTCACGATTGTTTGATAGTGTTTCAATTTTTATTTTTTTATATATCAAAATAATTTAAAATTTGGAGTGTGTGTACATTTTAGTGAGACACATCTAATAAAAATATGAAAAAAATATTTCGTAAAATATTAATTAACCAAAATACCCCTATAAATTTTCAGGGGTATTTTGGTCAATTTATATTTTATGAATTAATTTTTTATATTTTTATTAGATTATCCTATTTGTGATGAATATACGCTCCAAATTTCAGATCATTTTGATTCTTAAAAAAAAATGAAAATTAAAAAACTACCAAATAACTGTGATAGAACTTTGGACTATGATGAGCGTAGGCAAAATCACTATTCATTTTTGCCTATAGGCTTTGCGTTTTCTATATATATATATATGGGAAAAGTTTATATAAGGTTGCAACCTTAAAATGTAGAATTACAGATGCGTTTCAAAAATATATGGAAAAAGTTGTTTTAATGTTGAAAAACTCTATAATTGATTATTTAGACATCGAGATGTATGAATATGACAAAAAAAAATTTGAGTCCGATAAATAGTGCATCTTACAACACGTTATTTAGACCGTCAATTTTCAAAATTTTTGCTTATTCATATATCAGCTCAATTTATATCATTTTGAGACTTAAATTTCTTAACAAAATAGATTTTCAGACGAACTACTTGAACGGAATATTTAAGCAATATTATTATTTACAGATCGGCCAAATGTCAACCTTTGCAATACCATAAAAAAGAGAAATATTAGACTAAGTTTTCCAAAATAATGTAATGTTGAATTTCCAATCGTTGACTGTGGCCTGATTCATTTCTTTTTGAATGCAGACAAGGCTCCTTTAATAGACTCAAATTTCGAAACAAAATCCAAAGATCTTTCAATCTCCCAAATTTTACTTGCAAAATTTAGCAAGAAAGTGTGGCCGATTTCTGTGTCTTAATGAAGCAAGTATCAAGTCTATAACCCCTATCATCTTCCTATAACCTACTTGCTGCACGCACCTCTGCAACTGCAAGAACAAAAGAGAAAGAAGATGCATAGTTTTGGTTATAGATTGAACAGCCTTCTCACATATGCGGCCACCATTCTCGCTCTAATGTGCGCCGTGGCCTCCTTCTCTGACAAGTTAAGCCTTCCCTCTCCTAACGCCGAACTTCAGGTTCCTAACGACCACTATCTCCGCTTAATTATTAATCTTTTCCTTCTTACTCTCGCTCTCTCTCTCTCTGAAAACTAGAGTTTGGATTGCTTCTTCATTTTACTTCAGTGATCCTACACTGTAATTCTTCTTCATATCTGATATTCTAGTGAGTTTCTGTGCTGAATTGTTGATGGAATTCGACGAATAATTAGTCATTATTGTTTTTCAATGTGGTTAGAAGGTTAGGTTTTAATGGAATTTGACGAATAATTAGTTGATTATCTTCTTGGTTTTTTGGCTTACTCTGATTTAAGCAATTATTGTTTAGGTGGTCAAGATAAATCGGTTCAGAAAGGGCCCGAGTGGGAACGATGAGGTTACACTTTTATCCTTTGCTTTCTCTCCTCTTTTTGAGAGATGCTGATTCATGAGCTATATGGGCTTTAACATTTTATGATCCGTTTTACTGGCATTGACATTATGATCTGTTGTATGTTGTGCATTGAATTTGGAAGATGGGTCGTTTATGTGCAACTCTTTTTTTGCACTTTTAGTTGCCTTTATGCTTTCTCTGTATTTTTGACTTATTCTCTTAAGTTTGCTGAGGACTGAAATGGACTATTACCTTCTCCAATGAGGCAGTGGTTTATCACCCCCACATTTGAATAGAAATATAGGAGAATGCCTATTGAAATGTGTCAGAATAAGAAGAAGTGTAATACGAATTGTCGTGGTGGTTGATAAATAGTGGAGATGGGACTTATGGATTTAGATTGTGTAAAAACCTACTTGAATTTGGAAGCTTTTGCAACAAGCACAACAATAATGAAGATGAAAGATTATCTAAACAAATAAAGATAGAGGATTATAACATTGAGGTTAGAGTTACTCAATTGAATCTGTCCTCGAACCACAATGGGGTTGAGGTGCTAATCCAAATACTGTAGATCAACCACCCATGATGACAAGAAAATGGTTTTTATATTACATATATGCTGGGCTTATATATTTTCTCCAATTATTTTATAGTGAAATAAATGATTTTATATGGATCATCCCATCATTTGCAATATCAGTGCTATGATAATCCTTATGATTAGCTTATAGCTAGGTGGTTTAACAACAAGGTGACAACTTGTTAACTGCCACTTTTTTTAAGAGTTGCACATGCAGAAATGCCAAAGTTTTGCATACGGATCTCAACTCCTATTGCCCATAATCAATTTCAGAACTAATTGCATGAGCAATAAAACTCTATATAAAGAGATAAAAATCTTTTAGGAATTGCAGAATAGACAAAGGCAGAAAACAACAGATCAAAGGATAAATGCCTGCTCGTATTATTTCTTGTTTCCATGGGGGGTTGTTTTAGATGATGTGGTTTAGTTGTAGAATTCTTAAACTGCTTATCAGATTCCAGTGAAAAATAGTTTAGGTCAAACGTCTCGTGTCAACCATAGTGTAATAGCATAGGTCATAGCATTAAACAAAATAAAAAAAATGAAGCTGAAATAATATATAAATAATGCTGGAGTTACTCTACTTTATCCCCAAACCATACAAGGTGTTTTGGGCACCAATCCAAATCCTATGGCCCAACCCCTATGTTAATGAGGCAAACAGCTTTCAAATGAGTAATCCCTTGCTTTTCTTTTCTCCTTTTGATTTAGGACGAAGGGAACTTGGACCATACACATGTATAATAGCTATAGAAAGTACGGGGCAACAATATTTTGGATGGTTTGAGGTCTTCTATATTCGATTTACGGTGCACAAATACTTTTATTTGATTAACGTGCTGGTGGTCTACCTTGTTAGACTTGTAAGTATAAAATTAAATAACTATAAAAAATAATATTAATAAATATAATGTTATACATTATGATATAATATATATCTAGATCACTGTATCAAATGCATATACGTAAGTAGGGAAATTTATCAAATTACCCATGAGAGATGATCAATTTGACACTTTACCGGATCTTTTGATTTAATCTCCAATTACCCATGACAAGAACACATGATCTTGAGTTTGAATAGTTGCAAGAGGGTAGAATGTTAAATGGTTCATCTTTTATAGGAATTTTTATAAATTTTCTATGTAAGTATATACATGTGAAAAGAATATTTTTAAAGATGTGTTAAATAGGATGGTCATATCCATATCCATATCAATGATTGTGAGAAATACCAAGTCATTCTTTGTAACCATACTGTATCTAGGATCATGGTATTAGGTAGGAGTGGATGATAGGATGCCTAAAGGAGGTAGGACCTTTATGGCAAGGGTATAGTTAGGGAAGGTTTAGGGTGGGTTTCAGGTTTTATAAAGGGGTAAGCTTGCTAGTATTTCTCAGCCCAGCAAGGTAGTGTGGTGATAAGATGAATTCCAAATTGCATAATTGCAAATCTAGAGTTCAAGGGTATATGGGTGATGGGTTCTGAGAGGTGGTGGTTAGCTTATTGCTTTGAAAATTTATTATTATTCTTTTTGTATTATTTTTATTATTTATTTATTTATTTATTTTTATTTTTTTGAAAATGAGGCAGGGCTAGCTTATTAGGGTTAAAGGAGAGTTGTTTTGGAAGATTTTAAGAAGGTTGACGAATTTGATAATGACATGTCTTTTGTGGGCATTAAGAGTTCAAGATTGACAAGGGTTTGGGTTAAGGCATGATGGATTTAGGAGAATAAGGGCGAACGGGGGTATGCCACATGTGGGAAAAAAGAATGGGCCCAAGCTTACATGAGGAGAACCTTAAAACCACAAGCTAGGGTCTTAGTGAATCTCTTCACTAACCTTTAAGGGAGAGTCTCCCAAGCTTGGGCTAGAGTTGTAGAATCATTCTCTCTAGAAGAAGAATGAAGGAATATCTCCTCTAAAGGTGGCCTCTCACCACAATTTAAAGCTCAAATTTTGTTACTCAACTTGAATGAAGTAGTGTTCCAAAAAACACTGGGCGACGCTTAGGCAATTCGGGGGGTCTAGGTCGGCTGCCCAAAACCTGGGCGGCCTAGGTTCAAAAAGGAGCAAGGGGTATCCAGTAATCTTGTTTAGGTCCAAATTTTGTATAAAAAATACTTATTCATGCATTTTTTATAATCCAAACAAAAACAAGCCAAAATTACCCCACCCGATGAGTATTTTTGCACCTAGGCAGGTGCAATCCAATGGGTTCCTGCCCAGGTACCCTGGGCAGCTGCCTAAGCGGGGTACTAGGCAGGTGTTGGGACAACCAGCCTAATTGGTCTGCCCACCCCCCCTAGCCCGCCAAGGTCTTGGACAGACTACTTTTTGAATCAATGGAATGAAGTAGCCGTCGGCCTATATGACTAATTGTAGAAGTGGGAACCTCTTGTCTTGCTTAACTTGGAAGTTCAACAACCCCTAAGTCTTTCCTAAATTCATCCTAACAAGATTAAAAAACTAGATCATCTATAGTTTTAGGAAATCAGCCCTTCTGCAAAATTAGACATCTTGTAGAGTAATACTAACCAAAAAAAAGGAAACTAACTCCAACCTATAATGAGCTCAAAGTCTCAGACTTCCTTAATCTAGTCAAGTTTAAACTTTATTAATTCTAAAGTTTGTAATTTTTTTTTAATTGCCATTTGACTAAGATTTGAATACTAAAGCATCAAAATTAGGAGAAAATTTGGAAGACAATAATCATGGATTCTGGGGAGATCATTAAGTTGATGTTTGAATCACCCTAAAAGGACATTTGATGAAAGAAACATATTTTTGGGTAGCACCTTCCCTAGGGATCACTCCAGCTATAGGAACATGGTTCCACATTCCCAGATCATCCTCCTTGGAAAATTGCTCTTGCCTAAATGGGATCTTGATCCCATTTAACATGGGATGATGATCCATAGTCACTAGATATAGATTAGATTCTTTATTTATTTATTTGATAATTGATACATGATTGGATGATTGTAAATTTTCAAAGATGGCTAGAGTCATCTTTAAAAGTATGGTAGGTTAAAGGAATGGGGTTGAGGTCAAGGTGTTAGCACCACCGGTGACTTAGCTATCGGTCTCGGTTTCCATTCCTACCAATGCTAACCCCTTTCAGAAACTACAAACGGTTTAAAAAATTGCTAACCCATTACTAATAGCAAACATTCAAAAAAAAAAAAAAAAAAACTATGTATGTTCATTCTATGCCTTATAGGGATATAGATACTCAAGGTTTAATGAACAACATCGTAAGAGTATGGGAGGTTAAGGATAAATTGCATTCCCTTTTTCTTCATGGCCCTACAATCTCAAATATATTTTTTATGAGATAATCTCACTATGGAGTTTACATGGTGCATGTGTATATTAAATTAAAAAATATATCATTTTGTTTTTCAACATATATATATATATATACTGTCAAAACAAAGCCTTGCTGCAAGTGGCCAGTATGTTGTCACTTAACACTTCATCAATATGGCTTCTCTTGGTTGTTGGATGGTTAGATGTCTATGAACTATCGTAATATTCGTCGTTTCTCTCGATTAATCATGTGAGATAGACTTCCACTTCTTTGCTTATTTTGGCCCCTCTCTTTTCCACGTTTTAGCTTCTTGTATTCCTTCTCGCTTCCATGTTTCAGCTTCGTCTACCCCTCTCTTTCTTTACTAGACCCATAAAAGATACTAAGAAACACCAAGAGTTTATCTTTTCTTTTCCAAAAGGTCATATCCGTAGCATCTTCTATTCCCTCTCACTTCCATGTTTCGGCTTCTTCTACACCTTTCTTTCTCTACTAGACTCACAAAAGATACTAAGAAAAACCAAGAGTTTCTCTCTCTCTCTCTCTCTCTCTCTCTTAATGATTGAGCCATTCCATAGTTGGTTTCGGCAGTGGGACTGGGAAGGGGGGATTTTGAAATGCCATAAGATCACTAAGGTTGGGAGTGTCGTTCGTATAATGCATATGTTAAGGGTGAAGATGCCTAAATATTAGGGATTGATTTCCCAACTTTTTGGGGATCTTGATCCCAACCTTCTGGGATCTAGGGTCATATATACTCTTTAAAGTAGGTATCTCTTTATTTATAGCCAGCAAGCTGCAACTTTGTTAAAAAATATAGTTTTTTGCTGACTTGCTGTAAATAAAGAAAATCATCTATTTGGTTATTGTTTTAGTCTTTAAGGTTGGAATCGAGATCCTAACAATGGGAACAATGATCCTCATCAGTAGGGATTGGGATCCAAAATTTTTGAAATTGAGATCCCTTTTTCAGAGGTGGGAGTGAGATCTTGGAGAGGGATCACCACCTATTTGGAAGATCCTGGGAACTATGGGCCATCCATTCTCTAATACCCATCTTGGACCCAAAAAACTCTTAAAAAAAAGAAAAAAAATTCTAAAGTTTGACTTCGCACTTCAAATCTTTCTCTTTCTCTTTTTCTGACCTCCTATCGCTCTCTCTCTCCTTCTCTCTCTATTGCTTCGATTTTTTTAACTTTTTTCTGCATTTTTCGAATTCGTCATAGACTTCGGAGAGTTGACTCAGACTCGCATGCGTTACTTGGTTTGACTAGTGGCCGAGTTTCATGGCTGAGCCTTGTTTTCAAATATTGATAAACACAAACACATATCCAAAGGGTGCTTCTAAGGCCCTCCTAAGCAATCGATTCCATGAGCTCCCACACAAGGGAACTTAGGTTGGGAACAAATGTTTTTGGGGTAAATATTGAGAGATATTATTCTATTCATCAACTTTCCTCCATATAAATGTATGTCAAATGCATTTTGTTTTATAAGAGTTAAGATACGTTAGCATCATTCCCACATTTTCCCATATGTAGCTCCCTATTGTGATTGGGTTTTTTATTTTTCTTATTCTATTATTTTTTGAGAGATTGAAATGTAGGCTTGGGGTTATTTGGGTTTCTAGTTTTCTTTTAGGATATTTGTGTCTTTTTTTATTGGAGAGAATTGATGGGCTAGGATTTAATATTGATTATGGTTTCTAAGGGACTAAGTTAGGTTTTAGGATTTTTCTATTGTAAATATGTAACTATTGAATAAGAAAATAGAGGAGAATAGAAGATGAACATATTTTGGGCCTTTTGAATAAGATGGACTCCTTTGTAGACTTTGATAGATTGTATATTCTCTTATTTTTTATTTTATTTTTTAATTTCCTGATGTATTTTATTTCCCCTCTCCTCTACATCATTGGTATTAGAGTCAGGGAAGATCCATCAATCACAATAACATCAAAACCTGCGCTTATGATCAATGATATATTGCCAAAGTCATTGAGGGTGTGAAGCAACAATAAAAGGGAGCATAAGTAAAGCCATATAAGGTTTCGAGTTAAGATTTCTCAACTTTGAGAAGAGATTGGTGAAATTAATCAGCAGTTGCAACAATTAGAAAATATCAACAGTCGATAAGAGTTTGCTTGCAATTCCGTAGATTTGACACCAATTCCCACCGTCAGGATTAATTGAGCCCCACTACCAACTTTGACAGTTGATCCTATATGTATGGAGCAAATTTTGATGCAAGAACCATGAGTCGAGGATCATCCTTGTAATCTTGGTATCGAGGTCGATCTTCTAGAGTTTCATGTGGAGCTCGAAAGGGAAATCATAATTATTTTTGACATCCCAAATTTCCACTACAAGTTACACATAAAATATTTGATTAATTGGTTCATTGACGAAGACAAAGTACCTAGGAGAATGCAGGGACTTCATCAACAACTATTCAAATGGCCTTTAAAGGATGTGATGAACACAATAAGCTCAAGGTGGTGCTTCTCCCAACTTGAGAAGAATGATATAATTAGTTTTTTTTATTTTTATTTATTATTTTTTTAAAGATTTAAATTTAGGTTTGGGGTTATTTGGGTTTCTAGTTGTCATTAGCTATATTTTTTTTTTCTATTGTGGAGTATTAAAGGGTAGAATTGAAAGTTTAATTTTTCAAAGATGAAGGGCTATGATTTTAATATTGATTAGGGTTTTATGAAGCAAGTTAGGTTTTAGGGTATTTCTTTTATAAATATGTAACTATAGAACAAACAAAAGAGGAGAATAAAAGAATAACTTAGTTTGATTCTCATGAAATATCTTTTTGGGGCGGTCGGCCTTGCAGACCTTGAGAGAGGGTGTATTCTCATCTCTTTTTTCGTGTCCACTAGTTACATATTCATAGAAGAAAAACACCAAAAACCCAATTTTCTCCCTAAATTGTAGCCCTTTATCTTTTAAAAAATAAACTCCCAATTCTATCCCTTAATTTTTTACATTAAGAAAAGACACAAATACCCTAAAAGAAAACTGAAAACCCCAAAAAACCCTAAACCTATATTTTAATCTCCAAAAAAATAATAAAGTAAACAATAAAAAAAAACCTGAATTACATCACTCCCCAACAGGAGTTTAGGTTGTATTAACAAGTTGTCACCTAACCTTGTTTTCTGTTAAGCCCCTATCTTTATGAGATAATGACAGTTAATTTGTAAATCAATTCACATATAAGAGTAAGAGAATCGATTATAAAGGCTACCCCACCCTGCCTAGGAGGCTAAAAAGCCACCTCCTAGGCCTAGGTGAGCCTCCGTGGGCATCGTGTCCTTGGGCAGGTGTCCAAGGCCGCACCTAGGCAGGCACCTCGCTCCCACGGCAAGGTACTTGCCTCAGTGACCCGTTGCATTGGAACAAGAACTTGTTGTAATATTCTGCTAATTGTTAGGCTTCTTGTGTATCTCAATTATTTCATCTACGCATCTAGCGATCTCTAGGCTCTGATATCGATTGATGCTGGGAAGGAGGGAAAAGAACTACAACAAAGCAGAGAAATATAAGACAAGAACAAAGATTTAGAGAATATACCTCTCTCAGGGTCTTCAAGGGAGTCCACACCAAAAGGATCTCTTTATATGATCCAAAATAAATTCCTACTCTTCAGTCTTCTCTACTTTTTTCTGATCCAATAGTTACATATTTATAGAAGAAAACAACCTTAAAAATTAGCTTGGTCCCTAAGAAACCCTAATCAAATCCTAACTTCGCATCTTTAAAAGAAAGAAAAATAAAGGTCCAATTTTACTCCGTAATTCTCTATATCCTTGAAGAAAACTAGAAATTCGGAAGGACTCCTAACTTGAATTTCAGTTTCCTAAAAAGAAGTTATAAAATAAAAAAAATAAAATCCTATTTACATTAGAACTACATTACAATGAGATGGGGCACTACATATCGTAGAAATTCTAAATATATACAGTGAGATTCATTGTGGTTGACTTTCAATCATGCTATAAAGGTTAAGTTAATGTGTCCTCCACATAAATCATGTCAACTTGTATGCTCCCTGCAAAAGAAGTTAGTCAACCATCATTATTGTGGTTGCTGAATCGCAGCTCATAGCGCGTAAGTGTATGGTCCTATGTAATTTAGGGGCAGCCTTGGTTACTGAGGTTAGGACTGTGGTTGCCAATTGATAGTGGAAGGAGATTATTACATGGACTACCAGAGATACTAGTACCCCATTGCACATATTTCCATCGTTGATAAGGGGTTTCCGCTTATTGGTGGGGTGGTGTCCTTTAGGCAGGTGTTGAGGGAAGCCAATGGGGATGCTGACAGATTTTGCTAGTCTGTGGGTCTACCTTCCTTGGCAATATGTTTCTTGGCCCGGCCTTGTCAGTAATGCCTTTTTAGCAGCTCTTGAGGCTTTTCATAGTTGTTTTTTATTTTCTTGTGCTCCATACTCCTTTTCTTTTAATTTAATAAAATCATTATCATTCTAAAGAAGGAAAATGCTTGTGATAACTGCTTGTAATAGGGCATTGTTGTGCCTTTGAGCCTTGTGGCTGTTTCAATAGCTTAACTGAAAAGTGTGCGTATACATGTTATGAATAAAGGATATAGTCTTCCATCCCATGTATGTGGGGCATTGAATTAAGGAAGTGCACTTCAGCTGGGAAATGCTTGTGATTTCTTCTTGTATCATTGGTATTGCTGTACTTTGGCCTATTCTGGACAATGTGGTCTTTTGACTGAAAACTTGTGAAGTATTGCCGTACTTTGGCGTATTCTGGGCAATTTGGTCTTTTGACTGAAAACTTATATGTGCCATATATATGTAATATTGGATTGACAAAGTGCTTTTTGATTTTAGTTTTTCTTCGTACCTAATAATATTTGCCTGTGCTATTGTTGAACGTGTGTGCAAATTTACAGCTGTGTATGTTTGTGTGCTCACAGGTGCGTGCAAGAATCAAATTTGTTTTGTTTAGGATACTCCTTGTGCATGGATATCTGTACATGTGTGGATCTTCCCATTTGTGCAAGTGTGTTGGTGTCTTACTTTTTCACTGTTGTGTTGTGCACGCGCATGCGTGTCATGAATTTATTTATGGCATACTGCTCTCTTCCACTCTCTCTTTATTTATATATTCGATACACTTGGGTTTCCTTTTATGTTCTTGTTTCTCCATGCAGGTTACCTTAACTTTGAATATAGCTGCTGACTTACGATCAGCATTTACATGGAACACAAAGCAGGTACCGGTTCTGATAATGTGGAATTATTATGCATACATACTGTTATAAAATCATTTCATTTTCACATTTTGCATTCATGGTTAATGTGTTTCCAGGTCATTCTTACTCTTTTACATTTATATAAAGGACAATAAAAAGTCTGATTTGTTCAGATATACAAAGTCTGATTTGCACTTCGTTAGGAGTGAGGAGTTGCCTTGCATTTAGGTTGTTTGAGAATATGGGTACTGGTGGCGGACTCCCCCTTTCCTTTCTTCAGAATCTCCTCTTTTTGGTAACTAATCTCCTGGTTAACTATATTTTTGCGAAACCATCTAATTGTGTTCATTGAGTCCCCCTTAATCACCAGACCTAAGAATAATGTAAAGAGAAACTCGAATCTTGTTTTATAAATTCGCATTTCAGCCTTGTTTAATGACAATTTTTATTAGGACCATGCTAGCAAGGCTACATGTAATTAAAGTCCTTAACCTCTTAAGGGCCCTGGGTTCTTCTAAGTGCAGTGGGCAAGATGAGATTTTAGATGCCCTCTGGCATCCCTTCTAATGAGATCATAGTTAGTAGCAATTGACCTAATACTGGAGCTATGAGTAGCAAATGTCTATTCAAAAACTCAATTATATGCTCTGAACCAGTGTAAGAAAATACAGCTTGGCTGTGAACTTGGTCCCCAGGCTGTCTGAGTGAGTGGGGCGAGTTCGAGACGACTCGCTTGAGTTCGCGTCGATCTGCCCAAAGAGCCAAGAAACGCAAAAGAAAGGGCCAAAAGTCCTGAAAAATAGTTACTGTTAGGAAAGAACTAAATAATGCTAAAAGGCATACAAAAGATGAGAATTTAAGGTAGATCATTAAAGATCATTTTTTCAAAAAAATTAAAAATTGAAAATAGAAAAAATTATTTGAGACTTAAAACATAAAAAATATATGCATTATTAATTATAAATAATTTATAATTGATTTTCTCAAGGCTAATTCAATTAGAATTAACTATAAATTCAATATATATTAATATACTACAAACTTTAATTTATATATAATTAATATATGTTAATTAATATGTAATTAATATATATTAATTAATATAAACTAATTATATTCTATGAATTTTAAAAAATAAATAAATTATATTTACCCCATATTTGGGGTGTCCCATGCTCGGCAGGGTGCTGAGCCCGAGGGACTTTGGCAACTCCGAGTTGACTCACCCAATTGATAAACACCGCTCTCTGTATTCAAAGATTCTTTATGTCTACGTGCATGTAGGAATTCAGGGTCCCTCTCTAGGAATCCATGTTTGATCCTTTAAGGTTATTGTTTCTTTTCTTCTTGATGGTCCTAAAGTTAGCTGAAATACACGTCTTCCAAATGAAATCCTCCATTGATCCAGACATGACCCAACATTCTCAAAACCCTTAGGAGAAGTTTCTCATATCCTGCATGTAAAGAGAGAATGCAAGTTATTTACAACCTCTGCTTCCAAACTCGAAATAATTTCTTGGAGCTTTCCATCTGGACTCTAGGGGTGGTTTGTTGTGAGAATCTTGTCAGGGATGGAAAATATGTAGGAAAATCCTATTTCACTTAGAATGGCCCTAAAGTAGGATTTGACAGTGAAAAGACCTATGTTGCAATACTTCCGCATTCTATTGCTGGCATCGTTGTGTAATCTTATTGCACACCAACATAGTCATTGGTATTGTCATATGACTTTATCACTGTGACAGGATCATAGGGTCCTAGCTGGATATGATCTGCCCAAAATAATTGACATATGGGACTCATATTATATACATTGGGAGGTAAGTGAAAAGGTCGGAGTCATGCTGAAGAATCGTAACGCCTATAATAAAAATGAACATGTCAAGCATTGCAACAAAAAATCAAAGAGAAGAAGAGTGAAGGATTCTTCACCCAATATCTGTCCTCCCTGTTACCTTGATTGTTGGTGGCATATGAGCTTTAGTAGCATACGTGCATCCTGTGAATTTATGGAATTGTCTTGTAGAAAATTGGTCTAGATGGTCTCATGTGCGTCTGTGATGTTCAAGATCCATTACAAATGGTCTCATATTTCTCTGGCCATTTTTGTGGATTACATCTAGATGATTGATGTTTGGCACAGTTTCAGTTTCATGTATTTGGTATGTTGGGCTGAAATTTCTGCCTGATCTAGAGGCATATGTGGGTCTTTTAGCCAGCTAATAGTTTTTCCTTTTTTTTAATGCCAAAAAAAGTGACATGTATGACTAGAGACTTTCACAGTTAGCAAGAAAAATGATTTTGTCTTTGTTGTCTCGTTATTGAATGAGGAACCTCTACCAAATTTTGGCTGTGAATTAGCAGTGTCTTGCAAGAAGTGGAACCATCCACTATGCTTTGATAGGTCTTTCACTATTAATTGTTGCCTGCAGGATAGGAACTGATTCATACACTGCCACTTCTAGGATATTCCAGTGGCTCCTAATGCTTGTAGATTTTTTATTCAGCTCCTTGTGTTTCTTCCCTTTATACTTACTGTTCAGTAATATATCTTTCTTAGTTGGCATTGTGTAATTCCCTATTCTAACTGTGTGGTGTTTTGTCTTTCTGCTAATCTGATCACTAAATTTTGTAAGTAATGACTTGCACGAGATGGAACAAATGCATCTTCGTTCTTTAGTTTATTATTAATTAGTCTTTACAGGTGAACATGAAATTATTGGGTTAAATCCAAGACAGGTAAATTCAAAATTATTTTAGGGCTAATTGGAAATCTAAAGGATCTAGCTGTTTCTTTTATAGAAATAAGCACCTGAATAAAGTGTGGAATTATATAACATGCAAATATAACTTAGTGCATGCTTTTCACATACATTTTTAAGACTCTTTGGTTAGTGTTTACACCTAGGATTTCACATGATCAGGGTTCAAATCCTGGCACAATAACATCAATCGCATGCGCCTCAGCCTTATACAAACCTTAGGGTGTCAATGGACCCGACTAAGACCCCAGGCCAACTGTGTAAAAATCGGTCCTCTACAGGATCTGGTATCTGGAAAGCTCTCATATCCATTCTCCCTAAGTTCAGAACCCATATTCGGTTCCATGCAAGAGGAGGTAGTAGAGTGAGGTTCTGGAAGATCTGTGGCTTGGAGCAACACCTCTCAAAGACAGATTTTCGTCCCTTTACGCTTTATCCAATTGCAAAGGGGCCACTATAGAGGAGGAAATGCTCCTCTCTACCTGAAGCAGGACGTGGAACCCATCATTTAGAAGGTCGCTTTCTGACGAGGAAAACCTTCTATTCTCCGGCCTTAGCGCTGAACTCCACGAGGTATTCTTATCACAGACAGGGAGAGATTTATTGACTCCATCCTCCACAGGGAGATTCTCAGTAACCTCTTTCTATTCGGTTTTGGTAGAGGGAAACAATATGGTTGACCCATCAAGCAAAGTGTGGGCGACTATTGCATCTTCAAGGGCCCAATTCTTCCAATGGTTAGCCACTCAAGGAAAACCCCTCGCCTTAGATAACCTCCAAAAAGAGGTTTCCAACTCCCTAACAGATGTATAATGTGCCTAGAGGAAGAAGAAACTGTTCCGCACCTGCTGATACATTGCGAGTTTGCTTACTCAGTTTGGAGTAAGATTATTCAGCTTTTCAAGCTTTCCTGGACCCACCATCGATCCAATCCCTGGTTACCCAATCCTACGGTTACAAATGGAGGAAATCTGGGAAATCTTGTGGAAAGCAATGCTAGCTGCTACTATATGGCATTTTTGGGGGGAAAGAAACTCTAGGATCTTCATAGGAGAGAAGCATACTACCCAGTCCCTTTTCCATAAAATAACATCCTCTGTTATTTCTGGGCCTCTCACCATAAACTTTTTGTTGGTATCTCTGCTTCCCCTTTTATAAGAGATTGGGACAAACTTCTTTTCCTCAGCCATCAGAGGAGATTGTTTACCCCTCGAGGGATTCCCACCTCAGAGGGCAAAGTAAAGCTTAACTTTGATGATTTCTCCTTTGGAAACCCTGGTCCGGTCGGTATAGGGGGAGTGTTCAAAAACCACGAAGGTGCGGTCCTTCTCACCTACTCAGAATTCATGGGAACCAAAGACTCGCAAACAGCAGAAGCCTTGGCTTTGTTAATTGGAATCAAACTTTTTAATAACTCCTGGGTAGAGTCTTACAGATTGAAGGAGATGCTAATAACATCATTAATTGGGGCTCTGGCAATAGAGACCCACCCTGGTACTTGGGACCTATTTTTGATGAGATCGAACACCTTTACAGGGACCTGAAAGTTACTTGGAGGCACACTCGAGAACCGTAAATGTAGAAGCATACGCATTCGCTAAGGCAGCGGCCCGACAACCTATCTAACAAGAAGCTATTCTGTGCGATAGGGCATCATATTCCTATAAAGCGAGAACAACGCTAATATCCTATAACTATCGGATTGCAAGCCTTTGTACATGACTACTGATATAAGCCTTTCCTTTCCGTAACCACTGTCTGTTGCCTTTTGTCCGCTTTTGTAATTGGGCATTTATATAAGCCCTCACTATGGTCAAACCCTTCTTGTTGATGGGATAAGCTTTGTAGCGTTAGTTCGTGCAGGTCCTCCTCTCAGGGACCACGATGCTGTTGAGGACTTGCTTGAAGCCCTCACAGTATTGACAAACTCTAGTACTATTATCTCTTTTTATGAAACGTTAATTCCTATTAAAAAAAACTTAGTGCGTGCTTTTCTTTTTATATCATGGAAGTTACCAAACATCCTTGCGGAAAATTCAGTTTGTGCATATTAAATCATGCGCAAAAATTTGCATAACCAATATGTACAATATGTTATCTATATTGTTTTTGTGCTATCAAGAGAACATATTCTCATGTATGCGTTTGATATTTAAAATATTCGAAAAAAACTCCCTCCTAGGAAAAATCCAGTATTATATATTTCCAAGTAAAACCAGATTCTCGCTATGGCTACACAGATGAAATTAAAATTCAGCA